AAAAAAAAATGGTTGCCTGTAAAGTCGTTTTTACGGGCGAAGATTTTACGTGACAACGTCTTTTTCTCGGTAGAATATTTATTGATATGAATATAATTAAATTGCACAATAGGAACAAGGAATTGAATGAACTAGTGCTGCGCGCGCGGCAGACCGATCATAGTTGAGTGGGAGAGAGACGCAAGGCATTCGGCGGGCCTCTCTCTCGTTCGGTGACTCATCGTAACGTTACCGAGCGTTACACTTTTTCATAAGTGACTCCCAGCCGCAACCTAATTTAAGACGTTGTCACGTCAAAAACTTTAGGCATTTAACCAATTTTTGACAAAAATGTCGTGAAAATATATACCTATAAGGTAAAAAAAATATTATAACACTACGTTATAATAAACTATAGTAATGAGCTATAGTGTAATAACATAAAAAGTGTAATAAAATAGTACGCACGCAGCGTCTGTGTGTGAGCGTGTCTACTGGCGTTACATCGCCGCCGCGTGCCGTACGCGTTGACAACGAGTAGGTAAGATACTACGAGTACGAGTAGGTAAGTACTTAGTACTCGTTACGTATCAACTAGAAGTATGTTATTATCAGATTACATAAGTAGTAATAAGTACATATACTTACTTATTTCTGTTATTATAAGTTTTCGTGCGTTATTTGACATTGTTAATAATTGCTATCTTAATTCAACTCAGCACACCATAAAATATTATAACGCGAGCCGCATATGATTGTGTCCAGAGAACAAGCCAAACTAATGCAATGCGATGAAATAGGATAGATGATCTAGCGCGGTCAATATCTCTTTCATACCTTTATTATTCAGGTTAGGATACTGTACCGAAATATACCGGTTTTCATTTCATACCCATAAATAACGGTACCGAAATTAAATTTCGATACCGAAATTAAGCGGTAACCGTTATTTAACGGTATGACGTCATACCGCAATTTAAAGGTATCGTAATTTTTCGGTTATTCAGTCCCTGATCATAACTTATATTTTCAAATCGATTATCTGTAATTACATTGGATTTTTATTACAAACAACTTTTATCGCATTCTTTTATCGGTTGCTATGAAACTACGAAGGAAAGGATTATTGAGTTATCGGTCTTATTGTGTGACTCTTTACATCTGATAAGTGATATTGGCAATGTGATAAATAAAATCTGTTAATGAGCAGAGCCAATGGGTCAGAGCTATTAAACTTAGGTAGATAATAATATTATGTTTTAAGATACACCTTTGTAGACCTTTAGGTGTTATCATGTGACTTCCGAAATGTTAATTAATAGTGCTATTTACATAATAACATAAACACACTGTGGTCACACTGTAGGTGGGTGCGCGAACACGCGAGCGTAATTTTCTTGCGCCGGTTATCGACCTAGGTAAGTGGTCACTTGACAGTCGATGAACTGTACCAAACAAGGTCATGACGAGAACTTGCAATTTACATAATATTACTTTGTTACATACACATACAAGTACTTATGTATATAGCTAGGTACAACAAACATGGCTAACTACAAAATAAACATGGATGAGAAAAACATGTTTATATTTTGACCCCTGCCTGACATTAGGGTATTACATAAGCGCCTAATATAATTCCCAACCAATTTATATTCGCCTGTGAAATACCTACACCTACCTACGCTACATTTATTTGATTAAAACGAGCAGCCAGCAGGTAAATAGGTGCAAGCTACGTTACTGTTGCTGACCTAGTAATGGCGTTATCATGACACATGTCATCGTCACTCAAGTACGTTATCATATCAATTAACTTCTCTATGTTTGTGTTAAATTATTATTAACGCCCATTCATTTCTATTTCAATAGTAAAAAAGTAATTGTTATGTACCTATTGCCTTTGAAACTTCGTTTTTCTGATTGGCTACACAAAGAAAAATGGCGTTAAAATTATTTGTACTCACCAATGAAGCCCTTCTTGGCGAGCTCGAGGGTGAAACGACGGGTGATCTTCTCCAGCTCATGCTCGGAGTACTCCTTAGGGTTGATCTTAATACCGGCCTTAGCACCACCGAATGGTACATCGACGCACGCACACTTGAATGTCATCAGAGCAGAAAGGGCCTTGACCTCATCCCTGGAGACATCGGTTGAGAATCTGATACCTAGGGAGGAGAAACAGGAATTAATTAGAGTCAAGGTAAAAGCATTCAGTCAAGTAGAATAATGAAGCATTTTCGCAATTCTCTTTTAGGCTTCAGGCTCCGTGCATCGGCCGTTTAGTGAAGCTAGTTGGGTAATGGACTACTTAGTTTTATAAAGATCACGAAATGATATTCAGCATTAGTAGGAACAGTATGTGTTTTGTTTGCTAAATTGTGTCATACATAAGCTATCTAAATCCAACATTTTGTAATGTATTATGCGATTATTTCATGCCTACCTCGGTACCTTCACTACATTATAATAGTATCATGTATATTATCACCATAAACATGTTTGCTAACAACATCGACTAAATTGCTGTTAATCGTTCATTAAAAAGACGGTCACAATTTTATTAATTAACGCGAGGAAGTTGCAGTTAAAACAAGCTATCTTTGTAAACGTCAATATCGCTGGAAACATGTACTTAGGTTATATATAACATAACATACAACATCACGCCTTTTATCCCCGAAGGGGTAGGCAGAGATGCACATTATGTCACTGTACAATGTAACACCCACTTTTCCTATTTATGTTATGAGTCCCATGTAATAAGGGGTGAGCCTATTGCCATATACCGGGCACAATTCCAGACTCCGTGCTACTACTGAGAATTTTTTAAAAATCCAGTAATACTTTGCTCGACCCGGGAATCGAACCCGAGACCCCTTGCCCCGGCCACTCGGCCAACGAGGCAGTTTTTTGTTTTTTGTTTTTTTAAAAAACGTTGCCCCACACTAGGATTTTCTCCTGTGTCGTAGGTGCGTTTACAAACATACAAGTTCACATACACAATGACACCCAGACCCGAAACAACAATTTGTGGATCACACAAAGTGTTGTTCCGTGCGGGAATCGAACCCGCGACACGTTGCACGGCAGCCGGTTGCCCAGCCACCGCACCAACCGTGCAGTCAGTTATATACTTATCAACAATATATATACTCTTTTAATAGCAATTAGTTTTCGTATTATCAATTAAATGTTGTATGTTTTGTATCGTGGTCTGATTTTGTTTACTATATCTAGAAATAATAAGATTGTTTTCGTGTGATGAAACGGCATAAAATTATTGCTTACATAGAAGGAATTTGCAGTATTTAATCGTAATCGAATTTGATAGCAAAATTAAATGTGTATGGGTTATGAAAATACAAAATATCTTTATTTAAAATTGGAACTAACTGATTCGACAAATTTCAAAGTTTATTTTTCTTTTTATAGAAACCTTTCTGCAACGAAATCAACCAGCCATTTTCGAGATTTGAGCTTAGCAACATTTTTATTTATACAGATTGGTCACAACATGACACAATTGTCACACCTCTCGGACCACGCCACGTAATGCATCATGTCATTTCAACTGAGATAATAATCTTGGAATCAACTACATTTTGATGAATGTTTATTTTTTACACCGAAAGGGGTTATCTGGAAGAGATAAGTGCAATCTCGACATTGAAAATTGGAATGATGAAATATGTACCTTTTTTCTGTTACACCTGATTAATGAATAAATTATTTGACACGGCAACGTGTCGCGGGTTCGATTCCTGCACGGAACAACTCTTTGTGTGATCCACAGATTGTTGTTCCGGGTCTGGGTGTCATGTGTATGTGATATTGTATGTTTGTAAACGCACCCACGACACAGGAGAAAATCCTAGTGTGGGGCAATGTTTTAATAGTAAAAAAAATAACTGAAAATTTCGAGTTACTCACGTGAGAAAAGCTTTACTAGTTCGAGTCACAGAGGGACTCTTCCTCATGAGCAGCGTGCGCAGTCGAGGCGATGTGGCGCAGCCTACTCATACGTGCTAGTACTTACAGCTTTTTCAGTTTATTTAGGTACGTGAGTATCTCGTAAATTTTAGTTAATTCAGCATGTCTTACGGTAGTTATTATAAAAACATAGTAAATTATTTGGCCACTTACTAATACATCTGCCGTCAGGAACTAAGTTTTAACAACGTAACAAGTCTACTAATTCAAATTCAAAGATCAATCTTTCTGCAAAACGTAATCGAAGCCAATATGTAAAAAATATTAATCGTAATAGTATTACGACTCACATCGAATCAAATTGATTTCTTTCAGTACTACAACTCTAATTTTTTATGCAATAGGAGGCAAACGAGCAGACGGACACAGGTAAGCGATCAGCGCCGCCTATGGACACCCGCAACACCAGAAGAGTCACAGGTGCGTTGCAGGCCTTTTAAAAAAACTTTCCTTTAACTACCAAAATAGAATGTTCAGTTCACACAGTCTTATCGAACATTCCATTTTCCCCGAGGAAAATCCTTATTCCTTAACAAAATAGAACGATTTTCGTAGCTCATTACAATCGTTACCATAAAGCCATGGAATTTCCCTTCAACAAAAATGATTTATTTACCCACTGAAATCGACTGAAACAGTGAAACAGTCCCGAGCTGTTTTGCACGGATGTTTCTTCTTTGTTATAAATAGCTTCGAACGATAAGTGACTGAAATAAAATGGGTCCACGAGACACACATTTCAGCTATTTTTTCATATTCTCTACGCAGTGACGTGGAGGCGTACATTATGTATGAAATTAATTAATTACGTGCTCATAAATTATTCCTTGTTTATCAAACAAAGTCTTGATAATATTGGTACGTAACAATCTACTTAAATATCAGTGTAATTAGTAGATATGATTTTACCTAATGTGTATTTTATACCTAGGTATGTCCTATATACTTACATCTTTACTCGTAGTAAGTATACTTATCTATTTTTCACACTGAATATAGATCTACGTAAATAAGTTCGAAATTACATAAACATGTAATTTTTAATAGATTTCTTTATCGATTAACATTATCTTGAGGTTTTTTGCTAATTTCATTGTTACATTTATTTTAATTTAGATAGTATAGGAATTTATAACTGGCAATGCTGGTAATGCACTGGTAACTACTCTGGTGTTACGGGTATCCATGGGCCGGCCGCATGGGTGACCCTAATTGCTTATGCTTACCATCAAGTGATACTCGTAATTGCTTCCCTGTACCATAAAAAGTGGTTGCTACCTCCGCAAGGTAAACTATTTTCGGAAAGCTTTTAAGAGAATAATGACACAGGTTATTGTTGGCAATATTAGTGCATAAACGTTTTAGGCGTGTGCTAAATACAAGTCATTGACTAGCATCTCTAAATATAACATCAATCGAAAGTAATCTAGTATATAAATTACCTAGCTATTGAATCTAGTCTTTATGACCATTGTAGAAGTCGCGATTCAAAATAATTTGAGATATATGTAGATCTGCTATTGCTTAGGTACCTACCTATTGAATTTTTTGTCTGTCTCCTTTTTGTTGAATAAAACAAAAAGCTAATCTATGTATTTGTCATTCATGATGACAAAACAGAACAAGTTTATCCGTCACGAGTCTACCTACCGACACTAAGTAAGTAGGTACCTAAACTTAACATCTTAATTCCTTTAGTAAACAAGAACTACGTAGGCGAGCAAAGAACATCATCGCGTATACTTAGTCCAAATAAATAAGTGCTGAAAACGTGACAATTCAATAAAATTGTTGTCATTTCGAAGTGGACTTAACGAATTATCATTAGCGAGTTAATAATATAATAAAGGTACGCCCCTGCACAGGCAGGTGTCGATTGTAGAATGGAAACTAGTCTAGTATAATTTTAGACATTACGCAACGTACAATGACGTCAAAATCTGCGTCACGACCACGCCTCCCGTTGCCAACCTGATACGAACCTCAAAAATTTTTATCTTGTTATGTCGAGTGCCTAATCACACTACCTACACTTAAGCCTGTCACAAGAGTCATATAACACGTGATGGTCGCACATCACGTTCCAAATTACGAGCGAATAATTGGTCGTGTTGCCATCCAACGATTGGAGGTGTGTGGTATTTAAGAATGGGAACCACACCCCCAGAAGCTAGTACTTAGGTGATCAGCTGCTTAAATAAAGATGAAAGTGAAACACTCTAAAGAAGTTTCTACTTATCTTAGCCATACATGTTTCTGTAATAAGCAATCTTTTCATAAAGTTTCAGTATTTAATAGTTTCCTCAAATATGCATGTCTATTGTCTTCATTTATTTAGTGGTCATAAACATGAATTGTTTTTGCATGTGAACATAAAAGGCACATCGTTCATTTGATTTGCAAACCTCTTTGTCTTTTTAACATCGTGTATTCACTATGGATACTCACGTTACTATAATATAGTTAATTATGTAGGTACTATTAATAGGTCAATATTTTTTGCAACGTGTGACTACGACTTTCAACACAGTGGTCTGACATAAATCTACGCAACATTGCAGTTATATTCCCATCATTTGTTGAAGTATTTTTGGTATGCCTCTAACTTCTATGGATGTTATTGTCATGCAGTCAACTGAACCCTTAAGTGTTAGTACGGTCAGCTATATGACTGCAGTATAGTAAATATAAAATATAAATTTAATTTTTTTTTTAGTTATTTTCAGAATAAATAGATAAATCAATGGACTCAATTGAAATGTGCCTAGACCAACCAGAAAGAAAACAGGTCATTCTAGCATCTAGTTATTTTCAATGCTGCTTGGGTGATAAAATTATCATTCATTATTCTATACGCGTTGGAGAAATCTTATGATTGGTTGTTATTTTATTTAAGTTTTTTTTTACTTACGACAGTCACGTTACGATATTTTTTCTTTGAAAATGCAATTCAGTTACTGTAATTGCTTATATCATTTCAGCATAAAATAACATTAACAATATTATTTCATTGATAAATAAAGAGGTCTGTCAATTAATTAATTTATAACTAAATATTGCAACGCGTTAATTAAAATTTAATCAAAATAATTGCTTCAATTAGCCTTTTCAGGGCAGAGTTTTTAAGTTACCGACGCATAGGTACTTTAATTGAAAATATATGTTCGAAATTCAATTCTGAATTATTTATTTTAGTTACGGTTAATTCCCAGTAATTTTTATTATATTTTTTTCAGAATGGGCGAGACTGGCGATGGCGAGAGAACATATTGAATAACAACATGAACGAAGACAAGAATGTACGCTTTCTGGACAGATGGTGGACATTAGAATCGAATATAGCAAAAGTATCTGGCCTATCTTTTAAAATAATAGTCGTCTAAGCTATCTAGCGTAACAATTGAGGAATATTTCAAAAGCTTTCGAGAAAGAGTCCAATGACCTCAAAAGGCGCAACGCCTGAACGGAATGGTAGAGCGAAGGAAGACGGAAATTAGTGCAGAAAAATTGCGAGGAACATCGCAGCGTAACAATGAGAAAAGAAAGTAGACAAGGATATAGAAGCAATCAGCGAGGGAGTACGTGTGTTGGTAGGAAATAGAAACATTTTAAAGTTCAGAAGAACTGATAAGATAGATTACACATTTTTCGATTGCAAAATTAACATGATTAAGATAAATCTTAAAAAAAAAACGACAAACATGATGACTGTGAGTCCGGTGGTTCCAAATCACGAGTTATTATTAGTTTTTCTAAAGCTACGTAGGTATAGCTACCTCTATTTTCTCATGAGTAACAATAGTTTAATTTGTGTTTCCTGTTAGTGTTACACGTTAATTGCATCTTATATACTGATACCTTTGTATCTTCTAATAAGATTTCCGTATTTCTGCAAGGAAGGCTCGGTTCATTTCAAAATCGGAATTTTTACAAAGATTTGTCTGTTGAAGACAGGACACGTAGATATAATAATATTTCTGTTATTTTTTTTAGGGGGGAAAATCATCGAATGTTTACCCCCTGGGTGAGGCGGGAGGGAGTGTCAGACCCTTACTGACTACAAACCACCCCTTTCCTTCTCCTGCACGTCGAGCCGGAGCCTCGGTAACCCGTTAGGTTCTCCGCGACATATTTCTGTGATGGGACACTACATTGGACATCAGCTAAAACGACCTGACACAGCTTTTGACAGCTTGGTCTTTTGTTAATCACCGTAACTATTTTTTTTAATATATTTTATGGGCCGACGTTTTGCCACGGTGATAAGCGATGATGCGGCCTACCACGGAAAAAATACTTAAAGTAGAAAATATTCTACTTAGGTACTGGAGAAGCGTTAAAGATAGACCCAAGCAAGATGTAGTTTAGCGGTTCAACTACACAGCAGCATATGTGGAATGTAGATTACATACAGAACATATGCGTTTTTTTATGACGAAGAACATCTGGTAACCGACTAACTGTTCAGTTCCTGTTGTCAACAAAAGATGGCCCTTGAAAACAGGTTATGGTCAATTACCGTTGCTTCCATTGAACAGCTGTGTTCGTGATACTTAAGTATGAAGGGAGACATTGAAAAGACCATATAACCTTCACATTGAATACTGCATAATATTTTACGATGTTATCTTATTGGAATGCACTTAGTTGTGAGACTTGCTAGAAGTACCGCAAAACTAAGTGCCCTCTGCATAGCTAGTCTAGTCTGCATAAAGCCTAAAGGACATAAAATTGCTCTTATAGTAGGGTGACCTATTACAGTTAATAAATACTAGGTAATGCTTGTTAGGTGAATTTCGCCAAGATTAATTGACGACTGTAATCCCTAAATCAATTCAGATTTTTTATTGTAGTTATATAATGCCCATAATACAGTTTTTTATGGGCTCTCGGCAATTTTTTGCACTTCAAACGTACCACTTGAAAGATAGGACTGGTCATAATTTGAGTCAGTACTTACGAGGCACTCTCCAAAATAAAAGACCCAAAGATCACTTTTAGTGTTATTAGCAAGCTTTAAAATATTAACGTTTGATTTTCCTGTTCCATAAATGAATGGGATTCTTCTAATATAGCTAATAATTTTACTAAGTTTTAAGTATTTAACAAATTCCTTTCGGCGTAATATTGGTCACATTTGTAGTTATATAACACGAATATTCTCCATATGATGCATATTCAATTACCACCACTACAGACGTAGGTATGTTCGGAATTGATTGTTGTTAATGCAACTTTAGAATCAAGTTTAACAACAGATTGTTCCGATTCGTAGAAGACGTCAAAATCGATGGCAAAACCGATGTAACAAAGGCAAACTATTTTTTTATCACGTACCACGCACAGCTGCTTAGATAATGATCCGTGGCGTGATTTGGAAGTGGCGTGACACATAATTTTGTTATTAGGATTATTCTCAGGTACATAATAATATTGGCGAATCCTTCGAACAGTACTCATTCATCTCGTTAGCTCAAAGTAATAATAGGAAAGAACGGCTTATTTTTAGGTTAAATGCGGCTCGTTGGACTAAATCAAATCGCTCAATCAAGGTGAATGGCATATTTCGGCTAGGTTAAACTAACATGTGACATATCAAGCAGGTTTCTATGTCATTTTTCAACAATAATTTTTAGACTAGAGCATATTTAATAAAATGGCTACAACTAAATTGCTGTCTATTAGGTCATAGGTGCTTAGTGATTAGTAAAGGTGTGTATATTTTAAGCAGGAGCAAAAATTGTACGACCACATATTTTTGCTAATATGTGTAATATTACGTACAGTACATCACGTGTCTCCAGGGCTATAAATAAAACTTCCTATTAACAATAAGTATACACGGGTGATGTAAGCAAGTTAAACGAAAATCGAATAAATATGGCACTTACCTCCTTTGGTTGGAGTCCTGTGTGAGGAATGCTGCGCTCTGTAACCTAGGATCATTTCGTAATCGCCAGAGTCGCGCCTCAGGGGAAATTGAATTTCGATGATGTGGTCACATGGCTGCATCAGCTTCAGAATACCGGCTACCTTCTTTTTCTTCTCCTCAATGGAACCTCTTGACCTTATGTCTTCTACCAGTTTATCTTCGATCACTTGGCAGGCTCTGTGGAAGAAATATTCCACCATGTCGAAGAACCTTGGGTTTGCGTGGGTCGGAATATCCTTAAGCCTGTCTGGTATTTCATGGCTAGCGTATGTGCGGCAGCATACGTTTACAGCAGCAGGCGTCAGTTTGACTGCCTCGTTCTGGATGGTATTCTTTAGAGGTGGAACCACCGATTTGGCGATGTTCTTTAGGTGAAGCATTGTGACTGTTTTAATTAAGTACGTAGGTCGGGTTAATAATCGGGCCGCCCTACTCTACACTTAATGTATAATACACAATTTCTATGTAGTGTTATAATAGAATGTAGTGACGACCCGCCCCGACGGAATCCGACTCACTGAGTAAGTAAAGCGGTGTACGGCAAAAAATAAAAAGGCCCCAAGTCGTGATGCGGATATTTGGTCTCGCTCCCACTTGGGCATATTGAGTAAGATATCACATCGCTGTGAAGTTGGTCACACTCATCGAATCGTTAATCGTTAGGACTGAGTTATTGTGTGAGACTACCACATTTAATAAAGTAAGTCCCTTTTTACGTCAGTAACAGTTTATATTCAATAATGTGATATTAATAGTTTATTAATTATTTAGGTAGGTCTACGACTACCTAACTACTTCTAACTCCTATGAGTTAGAAGTTCTAGTATGGTTAATATTTAGGAAACTTGCATTTTGTGGTTGGTTACACTTAAACTTGTTGGTTTTAGAAACATCTAGGAATATCTGTGTAATTATCAAAATAAGCAAGATATAAGTTTATTTAGTAACAGATTCATCGTTACATTGTATCCGAAAATCTTATTGTCTATGAATGAGCAACTTTAGTTAGAATGGCTAACTAACAATCGACTAAAATAAAACACAGCTGACTGATAGCGGCTGTCATATTGTTATTGTAAATTGTGTGTTTGATAAGCTCAGATGACAGTAATATTCAGTTAGCACAGTTGTTAAATACCAAGATATAAGATAATTATTGTTAATCTAACGGCGCAGTTACAGCTTTAATTAAGACCAATGTCAAATTCATGAAATGAATTTGCATGTGTTATGTTTTTGATATTGATCCACTATTAGGTAGGTAGGTACCTGTTAAACAATAAATTATCTGCGGTTGATTTAATACAGTAACACAGTGAATTATTTGTGGGTATACCGTAAATATAAGTAGGTACTTAGGTAGATGCGTTGATCCCCACTATGTCATTACACGTGTGGAGATTGTGGTGGGAGCAAGCGGCAAAATACGCAAAATAATTATGATCTGAGCCAAATTTAGTAAACGAAATATTTACTGAAGTATTTATTGAAATGGATTTGCATTTTAACGTTGTAGCAGAAAAGTTGCACGAGAAATTAAGTAATTTATTAATATTATCCGATCCACAGCGCTTGATTCGGTAAGTTTTATATTGTGTGTGAACTTTTCAAATGTAGGTATCTGCTAAATTCGTTTTCTGTGAATTATTTTGCGCTATATCATTAATTCCTTTTCTAGATCCGACGCAACAATGTTCGATCCACACAATGGAGCTACTCCATATAGAATAGATATTTTACCAAATGAGTTACTGATAAAGATTTTCCAATACCTGCCGATAGAGTCCATACTGGAGTGTGAAAAGGTATGCAGTCGATGGAATAAAATTAGTAGAGATCTCTCAGTTTGGCGGGGTCTTGATTTTGTTTACTCCGGGAAACCGGGTCAGACAGAAATAGGAGAAAGAAACTTAAGAATCTTAGACACTCACCGCGAATGCATACGATGTCTCAAAATTCAGTATGTGTACAGTTACTCTGAGATCAAATCAATCATTGATCAGTGTCCTAACATCATATCTCTGGAACTAGTCATGTGCCGTATAGGCAAACAATTTGAAAAGGATATCACGAAGTGGCCCGACCTGAGGAAGATCAACCTTAAGAATTCACTCGTATTAATGAACAACGTTGAAGTATTAGTTCCTTATGATAATTTTAAACATTTGAACTATTTGTCTTTGTCTGACTTTGGTTTGCCAGTGGAAACGCGTGATAGTTTGCTCCGCTGTAACTATTTAACCCACATTTTTATAGAAAAGGTTAGAGATCTGACTTTAGATTATGTTAAAAGGTTGATAATAAATAAAACGAAGATTCTTGTCGCCCTACACATATATGGGGGTGGCGCTGTCGACGACGAATGTTTACAAATGTTGTCGTATTGTAATTCGTTAAAAGATCTTGCTATAATACATTGTGAAAATCTCACTGACGCGGGACTAATCAAATTGACTAATTTAAAAAAAATACAACATTTACAAATCTGGAACAACATTGTGTTTAGTGAAGAGAATCTGAAAAGAACGTTAGGAAGTCCGAATTTAACTAAATTAGAAAGCTTAAGTCTATCAAAGATAGGAAATGTTTCACCTGTGATAGTCGATGTGATCTCTGAACATTACAAGAATCTTAAGTTCCTCGCTTTGTATCAATGTCCTCAAATCATAAACACTGATTACGAAAAGCAGTTGAAAGCGAAATTTCGAAATATTGATGTTGTTTTGTATTGATATGGAATTGTAGGGATTTTATTGTGTTTATTTGTACCAAATTCTCGTGTTTGTTAAGAATTAAAAAACTTCATTCAAACCACATAAGTATAATTCACTGTATAAATAATGGCATAATTGTGTCAAATAATTACAATTTTCAATGCAATATGACAAAAATAAGATAAAACTTATTGGATAACATACCTACTAGTCTTTTTGTTAAGAGAATATTTTTATCTTATTGAAAAGCATTATTTTATCAACAAATACAAAATAATATGAAAGTGACCTTATGTGCTCATATACAAATATAATTTACTACTTTATCAAATGAACACGATTACAACATCGATGTTTCATTCGGTGGCTAATCTATGGAAGTTACTCGTTTGTCCTAAAGTGTACTTTAATACATTGATCTAAGGTTATTTGTGATGTTACATAACAATACAATACCATTACCTAACAAACAAATTGTTGTTTTATTTAATCCTTTAAAATTTGGTTTCAACGGTCACATTAAAGACATTCAATACTCTAGCTAGAGTAAGTGAAAACAAAATTTATGTTTCTAAAACATTTTTAAAATACCTTTAGACATTTAAGATACATACATCTCGACAAGTTACTCATTTCGCGTCTTACAAAAACACTACATCACAATTTTATGTTATATTTCAAACATATCACAGCAACCCAAACGATTTGGTTCATTTCCAACATCCCATTGTATTATTGACTACATTAAGAATTCTTGTTTAACTTCTAATGACACGAACAAATGCGACAGTTACACATTTGTGTATTTCATTTACAATCTTAGTATAGTGCCGATTAATTTAACGCTAAATACACTAACTTAAAATCTACAAATGTTTGATAAGCTCAAAATTTGTTTGTTCTAAATATTTTACACGATTTTCCTTTGTACACTGTCCGATTTTTGGTTTCAAGCAGGAACAAGTAATTAAATAAATTCGGTTAGCTAAACATACGACAGTGATAAAATTTGTTTGAAAAAATAAAAAAATGTTATCGTCACAAACTGTAATGAAAGAAAGTTCATAAGATAAATACTTTTAGCCCATTTGGCTACGAGGTAGTATATTGTATAACAGTGATGTTCATCGAAAATAAAAGTTATAGACTGCTGCCTTTTTACAAGCAGTTTACAATCTAATGATTCTTGTTCTATAGCTTAACGTGTATACAAAGATATGTCAAAAGAAAATCTAGAATTACTATTAGTTCACATACTAATCACATCAACAGCTGTACACAATTTGGAAACGAAGCATATAATAAGTAAACCACAATAACTGCAGGCACGAAATGTCAAGTACATAAGTATAAGATAACCTAAATTAAAACTGCATTTAAAATAAAACACAACACATTCTGCACAATAAATCCATCGTTTTATATAAATATATTTACAGACACGCATGCGCGAGGGAAAACAGTTATATAACTTTAGCGACGTAACACTAAACACTAACCGTGATTTCGGAACATTCTGTGGAACTACCTAGTCGGAACCTTAGTACAAATTCGCTATCTACTCTGGGACAAAATTAGACGGAGAAACGACGGAGATTATCATCGCTTGCGTCCACGCATGATCTGCAGAGCTTTTGCCATGAGGGGGGCTTTCTTCGGTTTGAAGGAGGAATGAGTAGATGAGGGCATGGGGGCGAGGGCTCGTACAGGGCCGGAGTCCCCGCGGCGTACGTTAGGCGCGGCGGCCGCCAGGGACGCCACCCGCGCCGCCGGACTACCTGTCGCCAGTCGAGCTGTGCCATGCTGCGCCTGTATAGACACATACATTCACATTACACATCTTCAATTTTTTACTTGTTTTATAAATAGGGTAGTCCCAACTTTTCAAAGTCTTTAACGATAAACTTAATAATTTTTTACTACCCGTCTTAAAGAAAACGACGATACAAGAGATTTGAGATCTGACAATTGCCAAAAATTTAAAAATGTATTATTTTTACGTCCAATTGACACGACATATGTATTTGAACAGCAATTCACATTCGTATATTACTAACATACATTACAATAAGGATAATTTTTAAAAATAATCTTACCTGTTTCTTGGCGATGTTTCGAGGCGGCTTTGCAATTGAATCGACATACGCCATTTTTGTTTGCTTGATGGGCGCCTTCTTCGCTTCTTGAGCTATTTTAATGTTCGCCGTTAGCGATTTTAACTTAATTTCTTGTTCTTCTTGGCATCTCTGTGAAATAAATATAAACTTATTAAAATACACCTTTTTAATAAGGTCGTCATTATTATTTGTGTGAAATTTTAGTATTCAACGGACCACTCAGAAAGTCCTTGGAGGATGGCTATTTTACCAGTTGCTGATAATGATAATATTACGATAATGGAACTCAACTAGTAGGTATATATGGCCAAGTTTAAAAGAAATAAATAAAGAAACTTACCGAATACATTTCCCTCCAGGCTTCCAATTCTTGCCGCTGTTTGTTACGGAAATCTTTCTGACAGAACTTCTGCCATAGATGGTCGGTGTCCTCCATCAGGTAGGGATTGTAATGTTCCAATACGAACAACTGTTGCGGAGTCGCCTTGTCTACGACAGGCTTTAGGATTTCGTATGGCACACCACCTGTATATTCAAGTGCTGAAAAGATAAAGAAGTAATTGTTAGTACAGTTGAGTAGATATGAGTACATTTTGCATTGTAATTTTCGTGATACATATTATACTAATTATGTTTTACGGCTTATGTAACTGTTTATACAACAACTA